AACACTTTTGTCAGCTCTGCCTGGTCTAATTTTGCTCTCAGTCATAGTTCTAGCTCTTGTTACACAAAAATGATTCAGAAAAGGCTGCTGCCTGGCATCGCTATGTGACTAACGCCTTTTCTGTTCCTATTTTTCATTTTCTGAGAAAACTCTCCTATTCCACTTCATGTTTAGTGAGGCAGTTTCACAGTTTCAGCAAAGGACCAGCTTGGTGGCTGGTGCTGACTCTGGCTGTCCCCAGAGGGTGACACAGTGGCACCGGGGCTCCCGCCATCCCGCAGCCCCCCAGGAGCCTGAGGTCTGCACTGTCACCGCTAGAGAGCATGAGCCTGTGCTGCTACGCAGATTTTTGGCTCAGCCAGTAACAGACGGCTTTGGCAGCAGGTCCCTGAGCTCTCCTGTTCAGCTGCAGCTGCAGAGGGAGTGAAGGAAAAACCATGCTGAAAGTCAAAAACTCTTTAAACTTTATGAACGTTTCAGGGTGAGCTAGCGAAATCTCGTTGTATTTTAACCACCGACGTGTTCCCTTCGGCACGGAGGAGCTGGAAACGTCTGTCTCCCCCTAGAGTTTTCTTCACCGGAAAATTGTGAAACCTATTTCCTCAGCTGCCCACAGGATCTGGGGAAGTTTCACAAACCCGGCTCTGCTAGGCTCCCCTCCGCCTCTGCAGAGATGTCTCTCCGGCACTGATGGGATGCTGTCATGGCACTGCAGTCACACATTAATCACTAAGGGATCCCCCAGATGCTTAGTGTCCTCCTGTCCCACCTTATCCACCCTCCTCCCAGCTTTCAGTGATGCTAAGGTCTGATTCTGCAGGTGAGATTAACAGGAAGAAGAGAGGTAGGGAGATTTTATGGAAGCAGGCCAAGCGCGGCGTGGTGTAAAACCCCAAACGCGAGGTGGGATGGCGAAAGGAGAGAGGGAAACCTCGGGGGACGCTGGGGAGTTTTGACATGGCAAAAGTGCCGGAGCATGAAAGGGTAAGCCTTTTGGAAAGACAAAAACTAATGTTGGGGGAAAGAGAGCCTACAATTCGGTAATAACCAGGCATTGATTCAAAATTGGGCACTGCTAATTTTCCTTGAGGCGATTTCCATTTCGGACAAGGTAGTTCACCTAACACTAAGCTTGCCAGAGAGCTCCTGAAGGGTGAAAGCAGCCCTGAGGAAGAGCTTCGCAAACATTGCTCCTTTCAGCCCTTAGAAAGCTGCTCAATATCCTGAAAAGTCTCCCTCACCCCGCTGGCATTAATGCCAGGGAGATGGCAAGCAGCCCTTCCTGATAAAGCAGCACAAAAGCAGAAGTAACATTACCACACACGAAGTAATTCTGTTTTGACTTGAAATGCTTTTTCTTTACATGTTATTTATTTTTAGGTACCCATTCTATGCTGTAAATGGTCTTCTCAGACAGTGATGTTTTTATCCAGCATAGTACAGCTCCGTAGCCGGGTCCCAGCTAGCATTAGTTGCCATGGCTCCACTGACCAGAGTCCAACCATGCCTATTTACTTTAGCTGAGGAGCTGCCCATTCCCTTGGGCCAGCGCTGTGCATAATTAACACAGCTAAAGAAACTCCTACCTCTTCTGAACGCTGCCTGTAACTGTCATATCAGTCTGTCAGAGACGGTTTACTTCTGTGATTTTAGGGATGGCAAGTGGGTATGTACCAGCTGTCATAGGTACAGTTTCCTTACCGAATATAACAGGCTGCATTTAATTAGGTTTGTGGCAAGTTACTAACTTAATCAATTAGCGTGACTGCAACTGGCCTTTCTATATCTAGACACTGGATTAAAACCTTCAGTCAATTCATAACTAGAATTGAGTTGCCTCCCTGAGTCAGTAATCAATCCTCCTGAATCTATAAGAGCAATGCACACATCACCCATCCACCCTAGTAATGGAGCCATTTTACTCACTTCCAGTGAACACGGTAAAAAACAGGTAGTCCCTTCACCCCTTTCTCCCCAAGCCACTTGTACTAGCAGCAGGTTACATCCTCCGAGGGTCCTAAGTCTGAGTGAAAGCTGCAGTAGGAGGAGGAGGCTCAGGGAAGGGACAGTCCTCGATAATTCTCCATCGCTTCAATGCTTTAAGGACCATGGCCACAGGAACGAGCTAAATCTCGGGGTGCTCCCACCCAACTGCCCACATGAAGAGGGTCCAGCCTGCTGCAGCCCTGCAGCAGGTCCACCAGGGAGAACTCGGCATGCACTTTATATCCCTTCTCCTTCCCTTCTCACCAGTTCTTGGTAAGGACAAGAAATCAGAGCTGTGCAAAGACCTTCAACACAAATGCAGGAGTTATAGGTTGCTCTGATTGCAACGAATCTGTGACAAACCACCTTTCCCTCACTTTTCTGCTCCCCAAGGATTATGCTCTTCATGCTGCACCTCCACCTTTCTGGAAGTTCACAATTTCACTGCCATGCTCATGTCCTTGGACTCTTAAGAGCACAGTTACACTGTATATAAAAAATAAAACTCCTAGATGCTATAATCAGGTTACCAGCAATGAATAATATGTTCCATAAAAAATATCTAAGGAAGGTGGTAGAACGTGCTGAAGATGTTCATAAACTATACTGCTGAGTTTCTTGACAGTTGGCCAAAATAACAACCAAATAACCAGTTATTACAGTCTCTTGACTGATTGATTACAACTTTATTTACCTTCATAAATTATCTTAGTCATATTAAAAGTCTTATTATTAGGAAGCATTGTGAGATTAGAATTCAGACTCTTCTTTCTAAAACACACTGCCCCAGCACCCGGGGCTCCATTGGCATTTTAAGAAGTTTATGTCAAAAAATCTTATCATCCAGGCTAAAAATTGATCGTTAAGTGGAGCTCCTAAAAACAGGAGGTCTCTCTCTTTAAATGTTTGACCCTGAGGCAGAAGAGGAGGGGAGGGGTGGAGAGAGGAGATGATAATCGCTTTAGATAACAGCCTGACTCATGTTATTAGCAGCCTAATTGCTATTCAAGTGCTTTTAGCCAGGAAACAGCCACACCTGGAGAAACACCTGAGCAGAGGAAGATTAGTTTTAAATGGAGGAAGGACAGAGATATAAACAAACTTTCAGCCAAGCACAGTAGACAGTAAGAAATATTTGCCTACTTATACAGAAACTTCCTTAAATCTGAAAGTTAGTTGGTGTTACTTTAGGGAGCTGGATGGAGGCGGTAGGGCTTAAAATGAAGTGGGGATTTATATTCAGACAGGCGAAAGAAACCAAGCATGTTTAGGATGAAGTGGCTGGGTGCTCTCTTTTCAGGATAAGCCAGCTTCTGCAGTGATTATGGTACTTCCGTGAGTAAGATTTATGAATGCCAGTCTGGTAACATAAAATAAGATGTTTGCTTGAAAGTATGTATGGTTATGTTAGATGCTTTACTTGAGAAAGCTGTGTAAGAATGGAATGACTTGTAGTTGATTGATTGAGCTACTGTAAGTATTGGACATACCCTCTAGATGTGCTAGCCATGCTTTCTTAAACTTAAGATCTGCTTTTCCTGTCTACTGTTCCGCACTGCAGCACTATAATAGTGTTTTCCTCTGCATACCAAGCCCCAAGTTCTCAACACAGCACTTCAACATCTCAGCTCTGGGTTGTGCTGTGTAGATGAGGCAATGTTTTCACATTAGTCTAGGCAAACCTCTTGATTCTTATTCTCCAGGTGCTCTTACTACTTACTAAAGCTGTTTTCAAAATTAAGGCTGTGGCAAACTGATATTTCCTGTAATCATTGATTGCAGCCCTGCTAGCTAAGAAGAAAATCAAGACCTGGATTTCTGAGCACCAGATCGTAAAGCCAATTTCATCCATGAAGTACATGGTGCGGTAGGTAGAGTTGAGGTTTTTGCAAGAAACAATCATGTTATTTGATAAAGATGCAAAATCTTTCAGCAGGGGTATTTATTCTTGCGTACCACTAACTTATATGGCTAACTTCCAGTAGTACACACTGTCAGCAGGGAATGAACAAAAAAATCCTTTTAAAAAGTTGAATAAATATTTGTAGGAGGGAAAAATGCAATGTTTACTCACTTTTGCTTTGCAAGCCACTTCTAGAAGGACTCTAGTGTATCCTTTTCTTCTAGGGTAATTTTGAAAGATTATAAAAGACTTTGAGATATCTATTGGAAAAGGATGTGCTTTGCATAACTTTCTATATATCACCACTAACATTTTTTCTTATAAATAACTTTTGTATTTCTAAATTGCATTTCATCAAAGTCTAGAAATATTATAAGCCAGAAACTCTTTCCTGAAGTGCTGAATAATAGTATTGGAGTAGGCTGCTATGGCAACAGATGTGTAGTCTCTGGATTTGCACATCAAGGGTTTTTTGGTTTTTGGATACCTTTTCAATATACAAGCAGAAAAGTATAGTGAGCTATCTCAGTAATTTTTGGAAAGAGAGCAGCAATAAAATAAACTAATATATTTACTGTGTTTTTATACTTATTTTAAATATATATATATATACACACACACAAATGCCTTACATCCATAAAACTAAAAATACAATAAAAATTTTGAAAAGCACAAAGGCCAAAATAGTTCTGAAACATCAAGGTGAAAACATGTGATGGATAATGATTATAAATTACTATTTGCATTATACTGATTCTTAGAAACTCAACTGATATCGAATTGGCACTAACAATGTGTTATATGCTGTGCAGATTCAAAGTAGATGGTCATCCTTGCCCACAAGGCAGGATTTTTGGTGGCCTTTTTTTGCAAAATTTTGCATGAAAAGGACCTTCTTACTAAAATACATCACGTTTGAATGATTTTGACCTATGGTACACCAATGCTTGTAACAGGAGAAGGCATTAGCTACAGACAGTAAAATTAGAAAGCGATAACAGGTCCAACCAGGAATTTGTTGCTAATTATGCGCCTGTACCTCTGCAGACCATTTTTGAGTGGTCTGTTTGAGTGGTCAGGAGTGGCTCACATCAATTTAACAGGGTTTGGGGTTTTCAATTTGGAATTTTCTTAACAGAATTGAATTCTTCCCCCTTTGTTATCTCTCTCCCTACATGATCTAATCTATTAGAAGCCCTAAAATAGGCTATTGTATGTGCTAGTTATTCAATATTCAATTTTTAACCCAAAGAGTAAGTTTTCATTAAGTTTGCCCTGCTTTTTGACTTGTGTTCCAAAACTGCAGGTCTGCAAAAAGCTGGCAAACATGGTGCTTGTATGTGATTGCAGGCCACCAGCATCCTTGGTTGAAATTCTGCTCAGTGCAAAATGCACAGATGCACATAAATCCATGCACACGGTTGCTAATGGAGTCTATTGGGAAACAGAAATGTTACTCAGATCACAAAAAGGGATGGTAGTTTCTGAATAGAAAGACACCAATAGGACAAGTAGTTAATACAGAGGAAGCTGTAAAGTGTTTTTCATTTCTTATGTCTAAGAACAGATTATAAAAGCATCTGTCAGGGATGTCATAAGCAGAGTTCGCTTTGGGGGCAGGAAAATGGACCATTTTTGTGGCTCTATAATCGCTGTGACTGTGTTTGCATAGGCATAAGTCTTTGGTTCACACAGACCCACAGACAACATGACAGATTCCAAAGAGAGGAGGAAAGTAAAAATGAATTGTCTAGCACTTGGGGAAGAAAGAAAATACCTGAACACTTAGAGTATCATATGCTTTTAGTTATTCTTCTACCAAAACTTTTTAATGTTTGGGGCTCACTGAAAAAAGCCTTTGGAAGCTCTTTCAAAAAAAATTTTTCTTTCTTTTTAGCTGTAAATCTTCTGATCCATGGTATAGGCTGTGCCATACAGATATTAAATAAGTAATGATATTTACTGGAAGGCTTAAATTGAGTGGTAGCCTGAAAACATTTTTACAAAGCAGCAAGATGTCTTCAGAGAAAAATCTAATACTTGACTTTGCAGTTAGAAAGCTTTTATATTCTGCAAACATGCTAATACTATGCATTAGTGTTGCTATATTGGGAAATATGCAAGCTAGGTGTGCTAATTTCTGAGGATATTTTTTCACTGGCTATTTGTAAGAAGCGGCTAATGACAATGTCTTTGGCCTTGGTGGTCTCCATATTCCTCTCTCGTGATATCTGCATGCTGATTTGATCTACGTTAGTCATGATAAGCTCAGAGGCCAGGATCTGAGTGGGGGATGCCCTGTTTACTGTGCTATCCATGATATACTGTTTATACAGCTCCACCAGCTTCTGTTCTAGGTAGTCGTTCAGGGCCGAGTCGGAGAGGGGCTGGTGGTGTGGCACTAAACTTGCCGCTCGCCAGCACGATGAGTAGCCTTGGGCTGCTTTGCGACTGATGTCGCTGGGGGGAACTCTCATTGACTCCATGGGCGATGGGATCTCTGAGGACTCCAAGAAGGGACCTATCCCGCTGTCGCAGGTAAAATCTGTTGCTACTGAGCTAATAGGCATCACATAGTCCCCAGCTATGTGCAAATCATTGTAGTTCTTGCAAATGCTTTTACAGGAAGATGGAACCAGGTAGGCATCTTTTCTCGTCAGCCCTTCACAGATGTCCATAGCTGGAGGTGTCTGCCCCTCAGATGCTGGGTGTGAAGTAGGCTGTGGGAGGTTATCTTTCTGCTTACTGATGTGTTTGCTGCCTTTAGAGTGGACTGAGGAAATAAATTTGCCAGCAGATCTGCATCTCTGAAAGATACTTTTTCCTTGTGCTTCGTCCGTGGAAGAGTGCTTGAAGCCGCACATGGACCTCATCTCACATGTCACTTCCTCTGCTGCTCTCTCTCTGTAGAGCTCAGAGTTGAAGTGATCTTCACAAAGGTAGGTGATTCTGTAAAGGTAACCTTCTGACAACATCCTTGGGAAGAGAGGAAAGGAATCGTAAAGGACCAAATCGGGTTGTTACTACTGAGAATCAATCAACAGACAGAAAATTAACAAGAACCATTAGTTCATTTCAAAATCACTGAGTAGCGATTACACTTGCAAATCCATTGCTAGCTGCAGAGAGGGGTTTCTGATTCAGACAGTAACAAGAGTGCCTCTACGCTAGATGACTTGAGTGAATGAGTGAAGTGATCAGCTAGTCTCCTTCTTATGCTGTTAATCACATTGAAATGTTTTAAGCATTACATATTTATGCTATGCACAACATAGCCAATAGCTAGTGAGTTGGGAAGAGAGGAATAAAAGTGGTTTGTTTCAGTAATACCTGGCATAATGGTTTACATTTAAATACTTATGGTTTTTCCCTTCCCTTCTCTTTAGTGAGAAGCCAAGTGTTTTGTTTTTTTTCCTCCCTTTCTTCTTATGCTTTGAAGTGACTTTCACTGTGTGGTTTGTCACCTGCCTCTGAATTATTTTTATATGAAATGCTTATTAAGAAGGGGTATAACCCCTTCTTTTCAAGCCTGATCTGTGATTGTAGCTGTGAGTGCTTTTTCAGTTAAAATTCTCAAATTATTATTACATGTTTCTACATGCTGAGCAGGATAAAATTGTCTCTAACTTTGAAGCTTAATGAGTGTAGATGTCCACAATTAAGGATATTGCCCATCTCCCCTTAAAGCCGGAGGAGAAAGCAAGGTGTTTTGGAGGCATGATTCATCTGACCTGTTTTAGATACCTTTATCAGAATGAAACAAATCGTGCCCTAGATACACTTATCTCTCTCCAGTTACTATAAAGGGATCTTAAACTGACTACCCTAGATGCAGAAATCTGCAGTGTACTTTTGATAAGACACGTTCCAACGCAGTGAGTTCCCATAGGAAGATACATGTGCCTAAGAAGTACTTCAGCTCCTTAACTCTTGATTTAGGCATGAGTATTGCCAGCTCTGTAATCAGTTTCCATAGCAGTCCAGCAAAGGCACAAGTGGGCTCTGGCAATCACTAACTCTCTCTGGTCTCTGAGCAGGCAGCACAGCGTCAAAAGGTGTTCAGATGTGTTCGCACCAAAAGACAGGACTTAAAGTAAGGACGTGCATGTGTCTACATATTAGCAAATGTTCTACCCAGCTGCTAGGAGTTCCACTACTGTATAATTGCTCTTAACTCCACCTGAGCATTTTGTTTTGTTTTTTAAGCAAATGGCAAGGTGATAACCTCTGGGAAAGATGTCATAAAGATGTTTCATGTGGTTCAGCAAAGAGTAAGCAAATCTTTAAAAATGATTTGGACTTCTCTTTCTATGGTATGAAATACTTTGTGTGATAAATGAAGAAATAGATTATTCACAATTAAAACAAAGACTTCTTCATTTATCTATTAATCTAACTATATCTTCTTAATCCTTATGAATACTGTCTGTGCAGATATGAGCATGTCCCAGTTACTTGTCAGTTTGCTTGAACATTTCAAAACACCCGCTACAAAGGAGCACCAGAACTAGAACGTATTTGCACAAGCTGCCAGAGAGGAGGTAGCATCTCTGGCAAATACCATACCACCCATGCTGCTTTTTTGCTCTTTTACAAGAGCAAAAAGACTTTCAGTTCTCTGTAAGGCATTTCGTGTGTTAGTTACCAGTGCAAAATGCTGCACTAATAATTAATGTTGGCTAAATCCTGTCTTACTATGGATATAGTCTTTATTTGGAGTTGGAAACAAGACAACATGAGAGAAGACTTTTCTCAGATGAAAAATCACTTCTGAACTACGAGGGAGGAGGCATGAGAAAATCAACTTCAGAAGGAAATATTCATGAAAGTTAAATGTCTCAAAACACTTGCTTTAGAGAACCTGGGTCCTTTCTGCTGTTGCAAGTAGTGTGGGATTTTCTGTGGACTGCAATAACCCTGGCAAATAGGATATGGGGAGAGGGATGAACTGAGACCCATGGAGGTATAAAAGAGTGGAAATTGGTTTTCCATGAAGTCAATATTAATGATGTATAATCTACTTACATGAGAGGCCATCCCCACCCCCAAAAAACATATTTGGGGCTTGGCATTCATTCAAGGATGCTTGCTTAGGTCTTAGGCATGATTAAGCTTTTACCACAGAAATCTTGCTCTAGTTAGAAACTAATCTCACTTTTCTCCTCCCTTTTTCTCCTTTTGCAGTGCAAAAGGCTCTTCCCCTGGGTCTGTAGCCCAGATGGCTTTATTGTGACGTTTTCACTACCTTACACTGGCGTGACTCTGGAACGGTTATACATTTATTCCTAGGTTTATTTTTAATATTGATTCTGAGAAATGAGTGAGAACGACATATTGTCTATTCATGTTTCAACTAACATTACATAAAGCCATTTGCATTCAGGTAGCATGTGACACTTATCTTTTCTGCTAGCCAGATGTATCTTGTTTCTATCATAAGGTGATACATTAGGGAAATGAAACTGTTAGTTTCATTTCTCTGCACTACATTCTGCAGTACTTATTTAAGAGTCTTAGAGCATGCAGTTTGAGGTGGGAGTGAAAACAAAAGAACTGGGAAATTCAAAAGTTCAGGCTCACATCATGCTCAAAAACTCTCTCTTTGGCTGGATAAGTTATCAGCTTCCCCTCAGAAACTGGCTATTGTTCTAATCTGACAACATTCCCAACTCTGCAAGGAAATATAATCAAAGTTCTGTTGAGAGCCTGAATGCAGAAGTGAGGTGCATATGTGTTTCTTCTCTGGTCCTCATACTTACTATAATATATATCCATACAGAATGGAGTTGTTGTTGCCTCACTACCAATGGCTGTTCACACAATTGTCCCAGCTTTAATTCTTGCATTTTACATGGGATAAGGGTTACTGATTTCCTTAATTCTACTTTCCCATGTCCCACCTCTTCTTAATCCCCCTTCCATGCCATGTGTGTATACATATATGTATATATACACAACAAGATTCCAAGTGCACATAGATTATATACAATGCCTTTCAATATTTTGGGTCTTGTGGTGTCCTTTCAACCACATTAACTTCCCTTTTCCTGAAAATAATTGTATGACTTCCATTGCACAGGGACAGACAGTCTAATTTACAGTTTTTATGATTCACCTTGCACACAAGATGTAGAAGGGGATTTTTCTTTGGATGGTTACTGCCTTGGTAATAGGAATAAACTACATCATATATGAACATAATGAAGGGCTAATACGGGTTTTGTTGCGCAGTCTTTACTATTTTACACAGTCTTTAGCACTTTGATGTGACTTTAAAAATGCCCTTGACTTCTGTGGGGTATTTGAGTCCTTCAGTGGAAGAAAAGCTCAAAGGCAGAATGAATGTATAAAGCCAACAGTGTTGCCAAGTATTTGCCAAGTGGTAGCAAATTTGCTAGGATATAAAGCTTGGAGCTGGGGCAAATCTTTGCATAAAGGTCTAAGATCAGAATATGGGAGCAAGTAAATAGAATGGAAGTACTTGGGTCAGGATAAGCAAAAAGCTTGAGGAAAGCCTGAGAAATGCACACAAAGAGACATGATAAATGTGCTTTTTGCACAAAAACTTGAACAACATGAAAAGCTGCTAGGGAGAGCAGAAAGAATGTGGTGCCCTCTGGGATCACAGCTCGGTGAGAAAAGGGACATCCTTCTATGCTGCAAAAGCAGGGGGAGGGGAATGAAAAGCGCACCAAGAGGTCCCTTGGACACAGTATACATGGCTCTCAGCTCCCTGAGTGATGCTCTCAGTTGCACTAAAGTTGTGCTGTTGGTAGTGGGAGTTCAAGTGACAGTGCAGGTTGTAGCTCAGGGAAGTTCTAGCTGACTTACTACACGGAGCCCAGATGGTAAAGTTTCCCTGTCTTGAAGGTGGCTCCACCTTCAGTATTTTCTTCCCATTTTAACACACTTCAGTTAGTTTTGGGATCCACCTTAGGTTTCAGGACATAGGTGTGAGAGTTACCCTGGCAAGTAGCATAGCTGGAGCGGCAAGCCCATGCAATGCTTTCCACCAGGGCTGAAGCAAAACAGCCCCCATGAAGCCTCCATGCGTGGAAATCAGGAGTGAAGAAGATAGTATAATGAGCTATGTAAATGGATGAGTCTAGTCTTTCCTTAATACCTAAAATCTACTCATTTTGGAGTATGGACCCCATTAGACAAGGAGTAAATGTAATATAGGCTGCTATAGCTAGCTGCCCTGGCTAAGCAGGGCTTCTGCATAAGCATCCCAGCTCTACCTGCTGCCTGGGTAGCTTCCTCCTCTGCTGCTGCTCTGGAAAATCTTGGATCTGTGGGACTGTGCCGTGGTCTCTTACAGCGGCAGCAGTCGTGAGCCTTACCCACCTGACTGACTTGCCCCCTCCCCACCACTTGCCTTGAAGTCAGACCCTGCTGTCTGCCCGCAGAGGAATATGTGAGCCCCACTCCTCCTCTTGGCTCACGTGGCAACAGTTCAAGAAACGCAGGGTAGTTTGGAGTGGCTTTCCCACGAGGGAAGCAAAGGTGGTTTTGAGGGGGAGCAAAGAGAAAAGACTGAGAGGATGAGAATCCCATGCTTCAAGAGAAGGGAGGAATTGCCTGGAAGAATTGGCTGAAGGAAGCAATAGAGGGCCTTCCCCACCAAGAATACAATACAGTTTATTTGTGTACTGTAATATTGAATATTTTTGTTAGATAAGTGTCTACCCATTTTTAATCCTGCTAAATTGACAGTAGTGAGCTTTAGGAGCAGCTGATTATTTTCATCTAAAAACATACCTTCTTAATACGTTGTATCTTTAAATAAGTAGAGTTTCTGGGGACAAGCTTCCATAACAATAAAATGAAAACTGTATCTGTATAAATATAACTCCTTGACCTCTTAAATCATTTCCTACTCAGTTCTGTCTTATCAGTTTGAGTCCCTTGAAGACTTGTACAGAGTACCTGAGCAAATCAGATTTGTAGCCCATTTGTCATTTTCCACACTTTCCTTAATCATCTATACCCATGCTGGGTTGTTTTGGGACGCCATCGTTCCCATCTGATAGCATTTTACATCTAATATGCATGGCTGTAAGAAACAACATGAAACGTGAGGCAGGAAAGCATCAGGCTGCATGTTGGTAAGGATGACTTGATTATATGATACTTCTGCACTGAAGTTTTATGTCTTTCTGGGGTGGAAATCATGTCCTGTTTCTAGACTTCTGTGTATATTTTGAGTTGTTAGTTGTTATGACCGAACTATTTCTACTGAAATATGTTGCATCTACACAGCTGAAGTAAAGGGGAAATTCATATGTGCTGTTACAGAAGAGTACACTTTCTAGAAGTGGAAAGAATAAATGGTAAAGCAAGAAACAGAAAAGGCTGAAGGGGTTTCCCAGGAGGAGTAAGGGAAACACAGACAGCACAGACAGCTGCACAGGCACCATTAAAATGTTAAAGCCACATCTGCTGTAGAGTTTTTAAAGAAAAGGAGGGGAAGCTGGGGGTGCATGTGTGTGTGTATACACGCATTTTGCGGTGAATTTGCAGCAAACCAGGAAATTTGCTGTGAATCATGAAAATACAATGATAAAATTTCTTTGTTTCTACTTCCTAACAGGTTTCATTCAGGAAAGTCTTAACTTTTTTGTGTGAAGTGTTTTTTAATATGTGATTCCTACATTTCTATATATGATGCCTATTTTTGTTTTTAGTCTACTTGTAGAGTATTCCACTTCTAAGACATGGTTTGGACAGTATGCTAACATACAAAGGTGAATAAAAGTGCCATAATCGTGATAAAAGCAATACACCTGGCAAGAGTCCCCTTAAAGTATTCCAGAATAGATACTATTTAGCATGATTTTGTGACAATGTTCAGAAAGATCAGAGGAACAGTTAGACCTTTCTTGTTTAAATTTTTGAGACCTATTTCAGACCAAACACAGCAAATTGTACTTCTGAAGATGGTGCCTTTGACTATTATTATTACTAATTCTTAAGGCAGCAGAAATTGCATATGGACAGAGTCCGAGTCTCTGCAAAAAAACATTATGTTCAAGGTAGTCAGAGAAAGTATATCTTCCTTTTACCAACTACAAGCTGTGGATCCACAGCAACAGGCCAAGCCACATTGATAACGAAGAGCAATATTTTCATATATTTATACAATACATGGTATATTTTAAGTTCTTACCTCCAAGGATACAGCAGCAGATCATGTACAAAAAATCTGTCTTCCAACTAATTTAGAGCTTCCTGTAGGTCTGTCCGACCCTAAAATGCGATGTTCTGTTTTTATTGCTATTTTTAAGTATACTTCTAAGATATGTTTGATTTCTAATCCTCCATAGCGTAGAAGTATAGAAAGAAAGTCTCTTAAGAGATGAAGGTTTTTATAACTGACTCTACCACAACATGCTTGACGGACTTCCTCTTTTATGTCTAAATGAAACTTTGTTGTGAAACTGTGTATTGTTAAAATAGCTGATTGCAACATATTCTGCTCATGCAGCCAGACTTCTCTTTGTTAACTCTTATACAAGAAGAAAAGCTAGCAAATTAAACAACTAGAACACTTTTAGAGACTGCTAATAAATTGTTAACATTTTACCAATTTATGGTGTACCCCATTTCATCCATTTTCTGTCATTTTCTCTTTAATTGAAACAATAACACATCTATTAAATAGATATGTCAAGATTGTAATGGCAGAGAGATACAAACACTGACATGCCAAAGCAGAAATGCCCTTCATAGAAGATCAGCTTTGTTGTCTTACCTCTCCGAAGAGTCTGTGTTACACCCTGTTGCATCTCAGTTTCCAAAAAACCATCACAGCTCAGTTGGTTCATCTGATTTGATTTCTGGGATATCTATGAAACTTTTAACAGGCGTTCATAAGGAGAATCAGACTTGCCGTGCTCTCAGTAGCCTCACTGACTGCCACATCCAGTCGGACAGCTTGCCTTAGTATGGCAGTACATCAAAGTAGCTTAGACAAGTGGGACTTCACCCTCCAGGCTTGGGGTGAATAGACAGTGGAAAAAGGCTTTGAGACAGGTGCTGGAGTACTCCTCAAAGGACAGAGGCCATGTCCTGTTTGATGGATGCAGTTGGACTGTTTGAATTACTCCTAATAGGATCACAGAAGTTGCTTGAAAAGGCATCATCAGGCATCCATACATCACAGACATAAAAGCAATTGACTTTCATTCTCCGTTTTTGAACTTTATCGTTAAGGAGCTATTGCCTGGGGGTTTTTTTGTTTCTCTCAGAAGTGTAGAACTCTGTCAGGCAAAAACCATGTTGTAGCACAATAATTCTACTAAAACCGTTTGCAAAAATTGAGAGCAATCAAGACATGTATGTATGTTAGTCTGGAGCACTGCTGAGAGAATGAAAACCTTCCTGATACCTCATCTATTCAATAGTAACTGGACAGTGCTATCAGATGATTTTGACTTCATGTTATGAATTTTTCACAGAGCCCAATGCTAAGACAGTGAAGCAAAGATTGCTACCAAAAAAAAAATGCAGAGTGCATAGTGCAGTCTTTCATATCTCACACATTAAACCTTTGAAGCTCTAATGTCTTAGACCTCATCTTATCCTGTCTCCAAACTAGTTTGACCCTGTTTTTCCACATAGTCTAGATTTAAATGTGATTGGAACAAAAATCCAAAGGCACATGTGTCATTCTGGATCTAGGCCCAATCTGTACATTGTAAGTTATACAATAGTTAAATGATACTGGACACATTCAGATGTAATGCCAGTATTGGCAGTGTCTGTAAAGCACAGAAGCTGGGCAAAATTGACAATCTAATGCAAATCTCTAGACCTCTTTGCTGCAAAACGTACTCCCTGTGGGAACAATGCTGTTGTGGTAATAGATGACTCTGTGTGCATGTGTGGGCGTGTTATTGCTGCATTCTTTTTCTCTGATCCTTTATCAATGCTATGGACCTTGTCAAATTTATCCTACTGAAGTCGATCCAAGCGTCACCGGTCTTATTTTGACTCTATATCTAAATAAGGCATCTCCAAAATATTTTTGTACATGTGTTCAAATAGAGAGCAACACTGAGAGGTTTGGGTTTTTTTTTTTTCCAAAGATTACAGGCAAACTCCTCAAACTATCTTTTTCTCTGACAACTACTCTCTGTAAGGAGTTGAAATATAATGAATTTCAGTCCATAAGCCATGCAGAATTTCTTCTCTTAATGAGACAGTTACTCAGTTAGTGTGCTGACACTTTTCTCGATGTTTCCATTATCTGGTTGAATGAGTATTGAAGTGAGCAAGAAATCACTAGGAAGTTTTTCCTTTTCTGTGGACCCACAGAGCTCTGCATATACAAGAGCTCAATATTTCTAGTTATACTATTAGGAAATAATTTTAGTCATGTACAAAGGTATTTCTACAAAAGCTCTCAGAGAGTGGTTAGAATATACTTTAAATCCTTTAAATCTGTGTAAAAGCAGCAAGATATAAACAGATAGATTTTCAAAAGTAAAAAGTGCTTCCACAGTTATAAAAGTACAGCTATCCAGAACCACTGAAAAATCAATGTACTTTATACAGATAGCTGACTATGGACTTAAGACAGCTTTAGGGGCCTAGATTTGGAAAAAATAGGTGGCCTTTGGGTTTTTTTTTTTTTTCCACTTATGTACATGTAATGTTTTCAGTGCTGTAGAGGAAGCAAAACACTGTTCATATTCTTGCACAGTAGCTATACGTTCCCATGGAAGAGAGATGTAGAACTATCATTTCTTGTCAAACAAACTGCATTTTAATGCCTTGATAATCTAGGCAAAGTGCATCACTTTGAGCATACACATTTATTCCAGTGACCTTGTTCACCTTGGCTCCTGACCTTGGAAGGATTATCCCCAGCTAAGAAGTATTGTCCTATATAAATTGTTACACTGAGATTTATCATCTGAGCACAACACTCTAAGGGCCAGATTCAGAACCAAACGAACTGGGAGATGATCCAATCTGATGGCACCTGCCCCCTTTTGCAAAGATCCCAAGAGCTGCTGTGACTCCCTCACCAGGAGCAATGGCTCCAAGAAGGAAGGGCAAGTTTAGCAGCCTAGGGCATCATGCAATTCATCTGCAAATGCAGCTAAACATTTAAGGCCATGCTTACTTATTTTTGTCAATGTACTTTGCCATGGCAAGTCCAACATATCAAGAATGTGTTGCTGTGCTTTCCCTCCCTTAAAAAAAAAATCTTTCCTTCTTTCCCATAGCCCCATATCCCTTCTAGTCTCAGCAGAGAGCTTCCTCTGGGAGACCACTTTGATTTTGACCTGAAGCACATCTATACTAGCTTTTTAGTTCACTTCAGGAGTGAACTTTCAAAATATATCTCCTAGTTGTATCCACATACTCTGTTTTGGTTTGCCTCACTGCCTAGTCTTCGAGCAAGTGAAAAGGGTTCCTTTTGGATGAAACTAAACAGGAGGATACAGGCCGAGACCACACTTAAAATTTGCTACCTGCTCATGGGTGTTCACGGGATCACGCTAGAGGCAGTCCAAAATAACCTCACCAGAACATGTGTAGCGTGGAGGTGGGGTTTCACCACCAACTGTTTTGCTGTCCAGATCTTCTCCAAATGTGATATGCTATTTACGGATGTAAACAAAACTGCAGAGCGCTATTGACGCACTCTTCTATAGAACAGTACTAGAGAGTTAATTGCTTATTCACCAAATACACCTTGGCATTGGTGATGATGCTATTCAGCTAGTATTGCTCAGTGTGTTGTGAATGATAATGTTGCACCACTATAACCATGGAGATAAGGCTGAAGTTCCTTCTCTGTAGTTACAGGCTGTACTACAGAACCTCATGACATGCTTAACGTGGGCCTATTTTGTCAAATGGTGCAAAGGCAGCTGTCTGTCAGTTATAGGGAAAAAGTTGTTTGTATTTGGAAAATTGTAAGCTGGGAATCTTTGAGGTGACTAATATTGTATAGCTCTCTGTTAAAATTGTTAATAACGGCAGAAAATAGATGTCTTCTTGTGCATATACGCAAGCAGACATCTACACAGAAAGCTCTATGAGTCTACCAAAGATTTTAGTTCTATCCCCATTTGGTAAGTCTATATCATCAACTAAAAATTTTGGAATTAAAAGGTTAAAGACAACACCTTAAGATTATCACATAATTTATATTTACTTCAGTCAATATGACAAAGGAGATATTTTGATTCCTTTCAGTCTTTGGAAGGGAAGTGTGTATGGGAAGGAGAGATGCACATTGTTCAGTCCTTCATCATAACGAATGATCATGAATAATTTATGTTCCTTACAATAGCAAAATCAGTCATATTTCAGGTTGCCCAGTATGTCAAACTCTTGATTAGAGTCTGAAACTCAGTCCCTGATGTGATAATTACAACAGTATAATCAATTATTTGAGTAAAACATTAGTCTTTAAACAGGGAAGCTTCTATGTTGTACAGTTTTCTTTCTCCTTCACTGCTGATATGTTTCTCTAGATAGCATGTGAGGATTCCCATCTTGCAAATGAGTCCTCTAACTACTAGTCTTATGTTCACACCTCCATCCCTCTTCTCTGTTCCATGAATTTTGTTTTCTTTGCTGCACAGAGAGAGTAGAAGCTCAGTATCTTTGTCCCTCTTCCTTTTCACTCGCTCACACGTTACAGAGCATCCTCCTGTCACGTGCAGTTCTAAATCATCTCAGGCTGAAGGGACCCTCACACAAAATCCTCACCCTGCTACGAAAAAGAAACGTGGTTGTGGCATCGTTCTCCTCTTTGGTGTGCTCTACTCACCCGAGAACGGTTGTGGACATGCATTCCTGAGGAGGAAAAAAGGGCTTGAAAGGGCACAGAGGCTGGCCTGTAGCTCTAGAAAAGTGGCAGGTAGTGGTGGTGACACCTCTATTTGCTGTTTCCAGCTGCCACAGTCAGAGGCTCCCCCCACAGCACGAGGGGTCTTGCAGCAGCAGTAGAGTTGCATTCAGGTCCCAGAGCCTTAACTCTGGGAACCTCAATGTAAGGGAGTGCAGCACCATCAGAGCAGCTTATTAGATCAAGTTAGGCACCCAGCTTTTGGTGTTCCAAAATGTAATCGCCCTTTCATCATACAAATGATCACTAAATCTTTTGGTTATCTACAGAAGCAAATGTCACGCATTTCCTGACTTCTTGTTATATTTTAATATGGTTCTTGTACAATGTATCATTTTTGTGACAATGTAATAGCAAGCTATTCACTGCCTTACACGCTATTTCTGGTCAATAAACATAGGTATACAATTTATTCTCGTGTTATATTTTATTTCTCTCTCTTGTGGTTCACATAAATCTTTTAGTTATAGCCAATTATTTCTATAGCTTCAAACTATGTG